CTCAAAACCCTTTAGATAACATACACATAGACCTGAGTGGAATAATTAGAACTCCTTGTATCTTTAATTATTCTTACTTTATGTTAATTATCGATGAGTATACCCGAATGGTTTTCATATATTTTCTGAGAACAAAAACAAAGGAGGAAGTGTTCAATGCAATCAATTCTTTTATACTAAGAGCCGAAAGACATTGTGAGAAGAAAGTCAAGATGATCACAACCGACGGAGGAGGCGAATTCATCAATTCACTCCTCATCCCATTTTGCGAATCCCTCGGCATAGTCAAGAACACTACCGCCCCATACACCCCACAACAAAACGGGTTAGTAGAACGCTTCATGAGAACCATAGCCACCAAAGCTCGATCCCTGCTACTACACAGTAGTGTCCCCACCAGATACTGGAGTTTAGCCTGTGATGCAGCAGTTTTCATTCAGAACAGGATATTCAACCAATCCCGAAACGGATTTCCCGAGTGCGCCTATAAACTGTGGTACGGACACAAGCCGAATCTCAACTATATCAGAACTTTTGGATGTCTCACTTACATTCACAACCGTGATGAGGAACGGGATGGCAAATTTGGCCCAACGTCACGTAGAGGCATCTTAGTGGGATTTGACGAATTCAATCGAAACTACCTTGTGTTTGATTACGGTAACCACAAAATAGTCAACACTCACAACGTCTCCTTCAATGAAAAAGTTTTCCCAGAACGCGATGGTGAAATCGATGATCCGTTCGAGATTGACCTTGAACCAGAGGAAGAAATGGAACCACACCAAGACCCTGATTCAAAGGAGGAAATCTCAAATGAATCCGAGGACGAACAGGTTGAATGTCATAATGAACCCGACAAACAACCGACAATAAAAGTAATCCCACCCAAACCTCCGATCGACCATCCGGACCATCCCAATTACGTTCGAAGATCAACAAGGATCGGCAATCAACCTAAGCGGGCGTACATGACTACATCGAAAAAGGATCAGATGTCAGAAGGAAACTGCGACCCAAAATTTGAACCTAAGCGTTTCAAGGAAATCCAAAATTCGAAATTCAAAGACCGGTGGCTTGATGCATGTCGCAAAGAGATCCTGGGAATGAAAGAGAAGAAGGTATACAGTCTAACCACTCGACCAAGAAATCGCAAAGTCATCAAGGGTCGCTGGGTCTTCAAAGTCAAGATGCTCCCCGACGGAAGTATATCCAAATACAAAGCGTGTTTCGTCGCCAAAGGATACACGCAAGAGGAAGGCGTCGACTACGATCAAACCTTTTCCCCAACAGGCAAACCATCATCATTACGCCTAGTTATCGCGTTGGCGGCAAGGAACAATTGGGTAATAGAACAGATGGACGCAGTCGCTGCTTTTCTGAACAGTGATCTAGATGAAGAAATATACCTAGAACAACCGGAGGGTTTCGAGGAGAAAGACAAAGATACCGTCTGGCGTCTACACAAATCGATCTACGGCTTGAAGCAATCGGCCCGACTATGGCACCTAGAAGTAGAAAAATACCTTAAATCCATTGATTTCATCAAGACCGAGGCCGACGCTTGTGTGTTCTTCCGCAACCGGAACGATAAAATAAGCATCATATACCTCCACGTCGACGATATGATCATCACGGGCGATGAAATTGACGCGGTCAAAAAGGAAATCAAACAAAAATGGGCCATGGAAGACTTGGGTGTGGCTAAATTCGCAGTGGGAATAGAAATTGAAAGGGACAATACTGGGAGTTACTACCTTCATCAACAAGGAATGATTCACAATGTCCTCGCCAAATTTGATATGCTCAACTGCAAGAACGCATGCACTCCTTTCGGTTACAACGTCAAGCTGCTCAAATCATCCGATGAGGAGTCGGCACTATTCACAAGTCGAAATCCTCGTTATCGCAAGGCTATCGGATTGCTCATGTACATAGCGATATGCACTCGCCCCAATATCAGCTTTGCTGTCGGGGTACTTTCCAGATTCCTAGAAAAGCCAAACCAACACCACTGGGATTCATTCATACACGTCCTACGATACCTCAAACTTACTCAACACATGCGAATCAAATACCAATCTCAACAAAGTGAGCATCTATCCGCCAATCCAAGCTGGAGTTTTCCCAACATGGCGAGCAATGCGGACTGGGCTGGAGACAGGTCAACTTTGCGATCCACAACCGGATACGTTTTCAAGTTCATGGGTGGCGCGATTAGCTGGAGAAGCCGACTCCAACCAACGGTAGCACTTTCATCAACGGAAGCGGAATATCGGGCAATCACTGAAGCAGTTCAGGAAGCGCTATGGCTAATGAAACTCATGAAGGAACTTCAAATCCCGATGCAAACACCCCTCGAAATGATATGCGACAATCTGAGTGCTATCCATCTGGCGCAAAACCCAGTCCATCATGGGTGCGTCAAACACGTCGCAATAGAACACCATTGGATCCGTGAACATGTACAAGACGGGACCTTCAAGATGAAACATGTTTACACCGGCAACATGATTGCAGACATTCTTACCAAGAACTTAGGAAAGAATCCCTTCAACAAATTCAGACAAATGATTGGATTGACAGACTCCGTTCAAATTGAGGGGGACTGTTGAGTTATCCAAATCCTCAGTTTGAATTATGAATACGCAGCAATGGTCAATTTTCACTCGCGTCTGTCCCAATCATCATCAAGTTTACCCTAACCGATACATCCGTTCCCCCCCACTACAAAAAACAAAAATTCGCCCCTCGATTACCGGTCTTTTCTCCACACGCTCATTCAGCTAAAAAGTGGAGAAAAGACTGGTACGTAATCTTTCTCAAAATCACCGATATCAAACCCTTCAAAACAAACACTAAAACTTTCTTTCTTTATTCTTCTTTTTCTCTTCATATACATTCTAGACCTTGTCTTCGCGTGTCCTCCATCATCCTCATTCAATAAAAACAAAAACAAAACTTGTCTGCGTCGTCGCAGGTATGATTATTCCTCATTTTTTTCTTTTCGTTTCATCATCATCAATACTAAAATGTTATCGTTTCTATCTTTTCTTTTCATTTATTCTTATTAGGTGTGTTGCTGAAGTCGAGAATCGTGTCGTCGAGAGTCTGTTATCTGATACATATTGTCTTCCTAATAAAGGTTCGCTAGTCATCATTATTTCTCTTTACTTATTTTTCATATCATTTATCTTTCTTATTCATGAAATATAATACACACGCTCATTCAACTAAAAAGTGGAGAAAAGACTGACCTTGTCTTCGCGTGTCCTCCATCATCCTCATTCAATAAAAACAAAAACAAAACTTGTCTGCGTCGTCGCAGGTGTGTTGCTGAAGTCGAGAATCGTGTCGTCGAGAGTCTGTTATCTGATACATATTGTCTTCCTAATAAAGGTGTGTTGCTGAAGTCGAGAATCGTGTCGTCGAGAGTCTGTTATCTGATACATATTGTCTTCCTAATAAAGTGCACTTCGTGTTCTATCAAAATTTACATTCTTCAATTTTCAATTTCGTTGTTCAGGCCTCTAAGGCATTTGTTTGTTTGTTGATTTCAGCCATGCGTAGGTCTTTTAATTAAATGTTTCTAACTCAGGTCGGAGGTGCTGAACAATGAGCTACTGCATCCTTATCCTCGCATCGAAATCTATGACACGAGGGGTCTCCAACTACCTGAGCATCCTTTACTTTGTAGGCCGAAAAAAAGAAGTGAAAGATTTAAGGAAAAGTACCAAGGTAAACCATACGAAGTCAGCTACTGGAGTTCATGTTTGAATAGAATTAGACATCTGATATGTTTACATCCCCGCGCACCTTCTTCGGAACCGGGTACTAGACAGTATATCATATCACTAGCACAATGGGTTGCAAGAGCTTGGCATGGGTAAATAGTTATCGAATCAGCAGACGTGACGGTCAAGTTGATGGCCAACAATATAATCGATATGAGCTTCATCACAATTCGTTTTTGGGCGCTTCCGGCTGGAAAGATTCAAGAACTCAGCCAATGAAATTATCATCACAATTGTTTAAAATGACAGAAAATGCTCATACGTGTAATGATCGTAAAAAATTAGTAAATATTATCTGGTCGGTCGAGAGTAGTGATGGGTTAGATCCTAGATATATCATGTAGATTAGAAGAGCAACTTACGGAAAGGCTATTGAGTGAGGACTGCGAGTTGATGCAATTTGAATGAGGAGGCATGCAAACAGAGTCATACATAACTAGTCCATGGTGGACCATTCCTTGGACTAGAGTGGCGCACGGAACATGGCAGTATAAGACAATTTTTAAATTGTATTTATGTATCGCGCATGCCTCACGCTCACATGGTCTGAAGGGCACCATTCAGTAAGGCCAAAATGTGGTGAGGCATGATATGTACTGCAAAAGTATTCTCACTTCACTCATGAAGGCATCCTCGCAGTTGCAGGGGGAGTCATGAGCTCAACGACGACTGATACACAGATCGAGGAATAGATTTGTTCGGCACGCAACGCTTCCCTTCTTGGAGAGGAAGCCTCGACGGGGCAGTTGCTTACTCGGACTTAACCAGTCCCTCGCGGAGCAAAGACTTATGACCCAAAAATATTTGACCTACGATGATTTCGCAGTGGCAATCAATTTCTGGTAGGGGTTGTACCAGCCCCCTAACAAATCGTTTGTTTCCTGTATCTGAAGAGGATTGAGTATCACAAGATGTAGGGCTTTACTGAAAAAAAAAAACGCGTCAGTTCTTTTTGTGCTAGAGGAGTAAGAATACAAGCAGATTCAGTGCTAGCAGCACTGTTGAGCGTCAGAAATAGCCTTCTTGTCTCCTTCATGCTGAGGGAAAGGGGAAGTTTTAAACTCCTATAGACCCAGTGGGTAGTAGGCCAGAACCATGGCTTCAAGGCGGTACAATCCATTTCTGAGAAGGTTGGGTGATGGGGGTTACCAGCTGATGTGTGTGTTTTAACCAAAATGAACATTTCAAGCCAAAGATTCTGCTTGCGACAGAATTCGCTTGCTGAGCTAGCTTAGCACAAGCCCCTCGATCGGAGGTGTCCAGACTCCAGACCCAGCCTCCGAAGGACTGGTCAAGTTTTCGAATTACTGCGCTGTTTGTTTCCGCGGAATCCTAGCAGCCTGACCCTCCTTCCAGCTCTGAGCTGCTGGAGGTGTTGGATTACGGTCTCAGACTCATGGTGTACTCTTCATTCTTGCAACTTTGTATGTTATTTGTACGCAATGGATCAATTGTATTGGAAGTGAGGAGTATGAAAAAAAACGAAAGCGAAAAGATTTGAATGAATATTGAGAAATTGACGCCGGCGAAGTTCGAAGAAGTTATGCTAAAGCATGATAGACGAAACCAATGATGATGGATAAATCAGAGACATCATTGGTATCTCCTTGCCATCCATAGGGGGATTGGTTCGCGCGCGAGCTTCCGGATGCCTAAGCCGACGGTGCCAACGATGCCCAACCAGCCGAGACAGACGGAGAGAGATCTTTGAGAATCGGAGATGGACTTGCGCTTGGGGGGGCTAGATGGGAGGAGTCTTGAGAAGACTTGATCCAGTCCGACCAAGCTGTGGTAGAGCGAGGTCGAGAGTAGGCAGACATACTTGATCGAGGCGAGGACGGGTGAGTGTTGTAGATTGAAGCTGACGAATTGAAAAGAACGCAGGGAGGGGCTGGCGCTCAGACGATGTGAGAAGATGTGATCGAGCAGGAAGGGGATGGCGATGTATCCGGCGATCGCGTGTGAGGTGGTTGGTAGATAGCTCTTGAGCCATCGCAAGGTTGACTGTTTCGGGGCCGCCCGAGCCAGTCGTCGGCCGGAGGGAGGCAGGTCCTCGGCGAGCTGAGCACGGAGCTCGAGCTGGGCCCGGATTCGACGCTGCCGATTGAGACGGGTGACCCGTCGGACAAGGCCGACGAGGAAGTGGGTGCCCAAGGGGATCCAGACCAGGATCGCCTCCCTCAAGCGTCCATCCCGATAGACTACCCGTCCGGCAAGCTGGATACTCGAGGCAATCGATTCACTACTGCCTTCTCGACCGACGATCGCCGCTCCGACGGGCGAGGCCAGATGGACGAACAAGAACGACGAAAACGCCAACCCGCTGAGATCTTGTGTGATTTCTAAAATCCGGTCCAGCGTCATCTTTCTCTTCCTTTATCCTGAAAATTGCGTCGAGATAGTCGGTGGATGTAGAACAACGTGTGTATTCTCCTTGTTGCAGGCCAATTCCGTCGTGAAGAATGATGGTGGATGGGAACAAAGGGAGGTAAGTGGTGGACTTGATTACGGCCAGGGGTCTTTGGGGTGGACCGTGGAGTGTCGGGGGCCACGCGCCGCAGTCTGTTAGAGCGTGTTGCACCACTGTTCTTGCGGAAATCCGCGCCTATCCGCACACTGTTCGAAAGCTCCAAAGTTTGCGGCCATGAATTAGGGAGGTTCATCCTTCGTTTTGGGTAACTCTCAGCTTGCGGCCCAACCCATCAATCAACCTTCCATGTTCGAAGTATCAGGCTGTCAAGGGGCCGGGATCGGGCCCAAAAATCATGCCCAAACCCACTCCTCCTTGGGAATTTCAAAAAGTCTGCCCAAATCTGCCCCTGCTTGGAAACAGGTGGGCTTGGGGCGGCTCTTGGGTCTCCCCACCAAATGATGGCTAGTGGTTTTTTTTTGGCTTGAGTAGCAATCCCAGACTGATGGTCACTCAAAGGGAGCGAGTTGGGAGTTCAATTTTACATTGCATCACAGAATCACATTTGTCTGCTATGTAGACATAGAAGATATAATTTTTCTTGTGTATTTAGTATGTATCAATTTGATTTGATTTGATTAATTGTGAAAGGCGTGTCTATATGTATGTTTATCAAGAAGAGAGAACATAATAACTTCAAGGCCTAACAGAGAAAGTGGGGAAAAAAATCAAGAGGTTACCAATACTTCTTCACTGGCTTCATTGGCTTGGAGGCTTTTTGTGGACCAGCCCACCTCCAGAAAAGCCTGCCCAAACCTGGCTCACAAATTGGGTGGGTCTCCATGGGGCAAGTTACACTGGAGAAATTCCTCACCCTTTCCTGCCCAAACCCGCCCCAAGACCTGTTGGGGTGTGGGTAGCCCATGGGTGCCCAAGCTCACTCACAGCATGCCAAGCTCACTCACAGCATGCTGTTCTACAAGATGTGCTGGACTGAAAAGAATTCAAGCCTGCCCAATTTTCAGTTCAACAGATTAGCCTGCCAATATGATTCTTTTTCAAACTTTGCAATATAAAGAAGTAAGTTTTAGCTATAAGATATGGTGAATAAACTAGGATGAAAATTTTTCCATTTGATGTACATTTGGGTACATGATTGAGAGTTGGCAGAAGCAATCTTGGAATATCCCAGTGGCAAAAATGTCTAAAGTTCCTGAACATTTTTATTTTACTTAACACTGGATGTCTTCCTGTGGCGGTTTACAACCCTTCCAGAATTTAATTTACAGCCCCTCAATCTTAATTTTTGGAATGTAAAATTGTTTTTTCACAAGCCTTGTCAAGACAGCTCTCATGTGAGCTGGTTGGAATTATGATTGGGTTGTTAATTTAGAACTGGGGAGTGCTTAAAAAGGACTCTCAATGGTGACGGGAAGTCCTCCACTGCCAGCATAATTGGCTAGGTTGGGGGTATCCCAGTTTAGCTGGGATGCACTTAACCAATTTGAATTGGGTTGATGTCAACCGATTGAATATAAACCTAAGCCTAAGGTTTGGATTTGTATTTCATTGGTCGATTTCAAGCCATTTCGAATTGGCTGAGTATATCTGAGTTTTATGGGGACAAATTCAACCCAGCCAATTATGCTGGTAGTGAGCTTTTAAAGGGGTATGACCCAACCAATAAAGTTTGTGTAGTTCTTTTTTTTTTTTTGGGGGGGGGGTCCATCAAACACCTTGGAAAACTGTGGTGGATTCTGGTTTAAAGTTAAACCACTCTGTTGTGGTGTAGCACTGCAACCAACCTGATTAACCATATTGGTAGTGTTTTTTAACTATTGTAACTTCACCTTGTATGATGTTTGTCTTGCTAAATTATTGTGCTTGTATAATTTTTGCATCCCCTTTTTGAGATTTTTTTCGCTCTGGATAACTCAGATATATTGCCATTGGAAGACTTCCCAGTGCAATCTATAATACTCCCAGAACTTGATTTGTACCCCTTAGGTCTGAATTCTTGGTCCAAAAAAAAAAAAAACTCCCTGTTTTTTTTTTTCACAAGCTGCCTTCTACCAACATTCCTCAGGTGAACTCCGGTGGTAATCTTGATGGTGTTGTTAATTTAGGACTTTAAAAAGCTCATTAAATTCCAACAGGGAGTGTTCCATTATCTGGGTAACTGGGAGAGAGGGACTTGGTTAGATAAGTTTGAGAGAATGTGCTGTGAGATGGGTTTGTAGAGTTCCAGATGGTTTGTTTTCTGTCTCCATAGACCTGGATGCCTTTATGCTCAATCATCTGTTGAATAATCCATTCCTGATGAAACACCAATAATATGTGTAGGTTGAACTTGAGATGGATTTACATATTGTGTTTTGAAGAATGCTTGGACGGATCTGCAGGATCTTCACTCGAAAATCTTGAATTTTCATTATTTAAGTTTGGATTTTTATTTTATTTTTTCCCCTCTCAACGCCATGATGTCGTCATAGCCATCACAGCAACCTCTATTGCTATCGATTCACAATCCAGGTTACAACCTGCCTCCAATCCACCCCCCAAATCCATTAAAAACGACCAACCGAGCGGCTCACTGATTGGATCAATAGCGCAGTCGTCATACAAGATCTTGGAAGGGATATAAAATCATCAATCGGGTCATCATATTGCTTGCCAATTCTGGAGGATCCATGGAATCAGCCCACCGTTTCCTCAATCCAGGTCTGTTTTTTAATTCTAAAATCGGGACTGGTGGGTTTCTTATCCACTTCACCTGGTACATGCAGGCTCAGACATTTACTTGCACTTACCCAGTTCAATGTTATTTATCTTGGGCATTTTTCCTATTATGCTTCTTGCCCTGTTCAATACCAATGATTAACATGTTCCCCATCACATTTGTTACATCGTCCCTCTAATTATGTTGTGAACTTGAAGATGAACGTTGATGAAATCTTATGCTCAATACCGACTTGATGCGAGGAGCACAATTAGTCTTTGAGTTGCCATTGATGTGATGTGAGCCTAGTCAAAAGTGACCGATCTCAACACTAGAGTTGGAATCAGTTACAGGAACCCATCATCCAGAATTGACCCTTATCTGCAGCTCACAAGTTGAGACTTTGTTCACCAAGTTCTTGGATGAAGGTTCAAATCAAATTCATCAAATCGGTGTTAATCTCCTTGAGATTGCTGATAAATTTAGCTTCATGAAGGCTGAGGAGTAAAAATCAATCGACCTTCAGCTGTCGATGTGGATCTGGTTCAAAGTCTCGTTCATTGCAAGATTGTTTGGTGAAAAAAATAGTCTAAATTCCTGGTAAAACAATCTGTCTTACTTTCTTCAAATACAAGACAAGCAGTATCATCAAGACCAAGGAAAGGGATGCCTATAAACGGAAACTTTGAGTACAATAACAACACCGATAGCTATGGTTATTTAATGTCTTTGTGACAGACTGCTGAGGGTCAGGGGACAACGCAAAACCGTTGTTCCAGGGAAGTGAGTAAGCGACCCGAAAGCAATATGTGATTTGGATGTCAGTGTGAATGAAGCAGTGGTCGGAAAACAAAGATAAGGATGTCTTGAAATGGTTTAGTTTGACGCAACACCGTACTCACGTAATCTGTAAGCCATCTTTCAGAGATCAACCATCATAACATGTGCAATCGTTTGTCTGATTGCCAATCCGGGGTCAATTGACCTGAATCTGATTGAAGACGTGCAAGGCCTCAAGTTGCTGTTTAAATGCTGGAAAACTGGGTTTAATCGGACGATGATGGCCCATTAGGCCTCTTTGAAATTGCATGACAAAACAACCACCAAGAAGTAAAACACTAACCATCCAATGGTTGGGAATGAGGGTCCTTCAATCGCCATGTGGATTGCGTGTATCTGGGGGATGACTTGTACGCTTGTCAAACCAACTATTGATGTTTTTGAGGTCGGTTTGATGATAAATCGGGGGATCGGTATCAGTGGTCATGTTTGTGGTCGGCTAGGATGCTTGCGTCTGCCTGATCACAGCAGGGCAAATGAAACTAGAGCTGTTTGGCAAAAACCAGCAGCTTAAACTGCTGAACAGCAGCAGAATACCATAACTTTAAGGCTTGAAAAACTTTGCTTTGTCCAAGCTTTATTCAAAACACAATACATCAACAGCAGTGAGTTTTTTTTGGTTTATTTTATGTGTGTTGTGGTTTATGTAAGTTTGAGTGAGGGCTGTGTACTAGTGGGTGGCTGAAGTTGAGTCTGGCTCCCTTTGAACCCACTCCTACTAACAACAACCAACCAACAACCAACAACAACCACCATGAACCAACAAGAACCACAACAACCACAACAACAACACAAGATCGAATACTTTGACCTCAACCATCATCACTTCATCAACAACAACAACCAACAACAACAACAACAACAACAAAACAGCACCACCACCATCTCATTCCCATCAACAGCATCAACAGCAACAACTCAAACAACTGCAACATCAGCAGCAACATCAGCATCATCTTCTGCATCATCCACCGATCAAACTCACCTCATCCTAATCGAACTAGATCAAAGGTTTCATGCATTCAGAACTGCACTACTACAAGAACCAAGACAGAGAGTACAACTACTCAAGGATGAACTCATCTCAACTATCGATCAAGCAACAATCAAAACTAACCCACCAACAACAACAACTCAACTCAACCACCACCACCACCAACAACAACAACCGATCACTTACATCGAACACAAGACTAACTTCCCACTCAAACTAGAGAGAAAAGTAAGCACACCTCCCCACTACTATACAACTCAAACCATTTCATTAACTATCTCTCTCTCTCTCTATCACAGAGGTCCAGGCAGAGACTAGACAGCGATCGGACCACCCACAACCCAAAAGCAGCCAGATCAGATGGGCCGATCAACTCATCAGCAGGATTACTCTCCAGGCGCACCTCCCAGATCGGCATCACCTCAACACCTAACGGACTAACCGAATTTGTTGGGATCCCAGACTTACTCAGCCCTCCCATCAATACCAACACCACCACCACCATCTACTCAGATCAATCATCTACAACCAACAGCAATCAATCCTCTCAGTTCTCAACTCACCCCCCTCCTCCACAGTTTCATTCACTACCTCTATCTCAAGCCACCCGACAGTTGCCACCACCAAAAACGCCAGCCGATTCACCCAATCCTACCCATCACCACCAACCCCTTCATCTTCATCATCACCATCCTCCATCAAGCTGTTACTCAGCCTCCGCCACACCTCTCATCTCCCCTCATGATCTCTCCCTCCCCCCTCAAAATAGTGAAAACTCACTTCAAGCTATCCTTAGCAACCCAAAACCTCAAACCCACCAGCCACCATCCGATCTGAGTCTTCCTCTGACTGAGCACCACGGTAACCTAACAGGTTGGTCAATTCCATGCTTGTTTTCTTTTCAGTTTCAAAAAAAAAAAAGGCTATTGACCAAGAGCAATGCTTCATTCCCTTTAGGTTCACATGAAGCACAGGATGGCGGAAAATCAGACCCATTACACCTTCAGTTATCTGGCATCATACCAGATCTGTCATACCAACAACAGCTCACAGATCAAAAGATAAACAACCTCTCGGCCAACTCGACAGACCTTTCCGCCCTAAACTCACCCGAATTAGTCGAATCTGGCGATCGAGAGCTCGATCGTCTTCACATGCTCCCCTCCGATCGACCGGGTAAGTTCACCTTCACTCTGCCTTCCCAATTGTCACCCCCGATCATCACAGAAAACACTCGTTTCGGACGATCTCGTCCACTGGTCCGACGACACAGTAAATCATTCACCTCTCCCAGGATCTTAGGATCAGGTCACTTCAACCTTTCCTTGATTCATCCTCATTATCATTTTTTTTTAATAAATAAGCTGAACGCGAAAAAAAAAAATCCGCTGAGAAGCCATGTAGCTGAAGCTTTCCCCTTCTGTCCTCAAGACCTTCATTCTTGCTCTAGGATAGTCACCGAACCTAACAACAGCAAGCTTCCACAGACCCCATACACCTTCTCATCCCCATCCTTACTACCAGTCGGCGCGCGAATCGACCTATCATCCCTACCCAGCCCAATTTCCGGTTTACCAACAACCTCCACGATATCATTGGAGCCCACTCAGGATGAAATCATGCAGGACAGTATGGCCACCGATCAGATGTCGATCCAACCCGAAACTTTACCACCATCCGAGCAGATACCCAACCCGCTCACCGACCGTCCACAGACGGCCCGCTCGCGCGCGGCAACGATGGAGTCCCAACGGCCATCTAGCGGTGCGGATTTCACGATCGGAGACCCGGATACCAGTCTAACGATCGAGGACATGGCGATAGACAGTGTTGACCCGCCGACCCATCCCGTGTTGGACCATCCATTACACTCACCCCCTTCGCCATCCGCTATGCCCCCACCCGGATCAGACCCATCCCTCCTCCTACCCTCCTCTTCGATTCCCGGTCCCACCCATTCCGAAGACCGTGCCCAGGTCCTCATCCCCCCGACTAGAGTGCCCTCACCTCCTGTCAATCGTCAGATGGGCGCCGCTAGTGCCGGCGTCAGCTCCCATCTCGCCGCTCAGTTCGAACCTATCTTCACTCAATGGTTGGGCAGATTATGCTCCGATCGTCAGTCCAAACTCTTCTCTATAGCGGATGGTCCCCGTCATGAATTGATCTGGATTTCTGATTTTTTTATTGTTTGATGAATGGTGACAGTGGACATGAAAGACTCGAAGGGAGAGCCGATCCATCAGACGCTGATGGCACGCAAAATGCAGAGACTCGAAGAGAGTGCCGATTTCCGGCCGTTCAAGTTTCGGATCCAAGCCTTCACTAACTCCTTCTTTGAGGAACTCGTCCGGAATGGGTTCCAAGAGAAAGATTTACCTATGAAGAAGGTCTGTCATTCGGTTTCTTTTGTTACAGACAGGTAAGTTGTTTTCTCATCCCCTAGTGTGTGTTTATTTGACATTAGGTTCGACAGTATCTTTGGTCTCAGTCTTGTATCTCTCGGTTTAATGAAGAGGGAAAGAAAGCCAAGTAAGCACGTCCAAAACAACAAGAACGACTTCCCATTCAACTTGTGGGGGATTTTTTTTTTGACATGTGTCATGTTTGAAGGTCAAAGGGAAACCACGTCTGGCATATCGAGGCGAAAAAGCTGATGAATGGCCAGTGGAGTTTCCTACATTTCCAGCGTAAGATCATCGGCACTCCGTCACCGGAAGCCTACGCTGGGATTAAATGGACATGGGCGGCAAAGGTCTGGGACCCGCAATGCTCAGCACAAAATATCAAGGCTTCCTTCTCCTCGCCTGAGCTCCCTAATTGGCTGTCTTGGAGAGGTAATCTCTTGACTGGAGTCCCGACGGTTGATCTCATCGGCAGATCGTATCACATCATCGTCCGGGCTATCACTAATCATAACTCCAAACCTTCTTCTCTCGACACGTCTTTTAACCTTTCCATCAAATCTCCTGATGAAATGGGTGAATATATATTCCATTCCACTCTGCCGCTTTTATGAATGATCATTTAACTTATTCACATTTGTTTTCTCTCCCCTCCTATGTCCATTTAAAAGTTACGAGTCGAAAAAATCGGAAACCTACTGAAGTTCTTGCCTCACAGTCCGACTCTACTTTACCTCAAAGTTCTTCCGAACAAATCTCGCTCAACACTACCCCGAGTCATTCTCCACCTGACCTTTCAGCTCTCAATTCATCCGCCCTCGAACCGGCTCCACCAACTGGTATGATAATATCAGAAGGAAATCGATCGACCAGTTACAGTCAAGTTCCCGCTCTCTCCCGAACAGATTCTAGCGAGAGTGTTCCGATCAGTTCGCCATCACTAGAGGATCCGCCCAGGTTGGGTCAAGCCGCTGGGTTCGATGGGATCCTGACCGAGAATAGTCTGATGCATGACTTCCGAGCTGGAGCTCTGAAAGAGGACGAAAGTCTCGAGTTCGATTCTGCTCATGCAGCTGACGTCTTAAATGGGATGATGGGCGGCACACCGGCGGCGACGACGACGACGACAACAACGACGACGACGACTGCTTCGACATCGGAGGCTGTAGTCGAGGCGTTCGGCCAATTATCTGAGAACAACTCTCTTCAAGCTGGCTCGCTGGTCGTCCCTAAATCTCAATCAATCGACTTATCTTCTTCGTTGTCGTCGGCTCATCCACTGGCACTCCATCTCGATCAGCAAATCGGATTGAGAGCTGCTCCAACGGACCAACAAGCGAGAAATCTCATGGGCGCTGGTGAAGGACAACTGACGAGTGGGATGATGATGATTGCTTCGAACGGCGGGATGGTGGTGACGAGCGAGTTGGAGGCGGATGGCTCCTCCGGTGGCGGGCCGACAACTCGTGGCGACACGTTAGAGAGTAGCGGGTTGACTGAGGCAGTGGGGCTGCTGGATCGGATGATGAGTCCGGCTCAACTGATGGCACCCACGATGGGCGGCACGAATGAGATGGAGACTACGACGGGCGGCAGCGAGCTCGTGGTTGGCCTGTCGAGTGGAGCGGAGATGTGTGTGCCGCCCGCATCCAGCGAGCTCTCGACTAGGATGATCCTCGACCAACCCGTCCAAATCCTCGACGCCGTCGTCCATCATCATCATCAACAACAGCAACAGCAACAGGCCGTCGCGCTACATCAGGCGCGACTCCAAACCGTCCGCGAGAACCTCATGTCTTCGGACGCTTTTATCTCCGATTCTGCCGGCAACCTTATCCGTACTGCGATCGTCTCTAATGACCCCGTCGCTCGTCAATTCGCGGCTGATGTGCTGGCACCCATGACTTCCAACAACTCGTCCTCTTCTACTTCGTCTTCCACTACTACCAATGTCCTTACAGATCCCTCGAATGCTACGTCTACGCTCCCTTCATCCACTGCAACTAATACACAACCACTAGCAACTTCTTCATCGACGGCTTCGACGACTGCAACGACTCATGTTGGTGGCTCTACGTCTTCTGTCCCTCCTCCTTTAGCCTCCGATCTTCGGCCCTCCTCTCAAGCCCACAATCATCCCGGACTACAGGGCCTTCATCCTCATCCTCCTCTCCAGCCATTACTCCTGCTGCCTCTTAACCCTCCTCCTCTTCCTCCTAGTACCTCTTCTTCTTCTTCTTCTACTGTGACTATTATGAATACTGATCCTATTCCTGTCCCGACACCCTTTTCCGATCCTTCTCTCACTCATCAGCTTGCTTCTAATCCTTCTTCTTCTCATCCTTCGATCGTTCGATTGCCTCTTCAATAACTTTTTTTTTGGTTTCTCTTTTCTCTCTTAGGACACTCTTTCTCCATCTTCCTACTTTTATATATATGTGTGTGTGTAACGTTTTTTTTTTTTTTTCTTTTACGCTTTTTCGGCCGATTATCAATTCATATCATCCTCGACAACGACAACCATCTTGTTCGTGATGATGCGATTGATGATCGGAACGATGGCAACAACGACATTGGTTTGGCCGGCCAGATCGTCGTTTCTTCTTTCCATCCTTGAACAACAATGTCGCCTCGTCTACTGCTACTCAATAGCATTGGTTACCTGTTGCTTATTCTCTTTTTTTTTCGTCCATTTATACATGCAACACTTCCTCTCTCTCTGCCTCTCTCTTTTTTCTTATAAACACACACATATACTTCCTCTATCTCTTATATATATTTATGTAGGTAGCTTCTCGGTTGATCGATTGTCTCTCTTTCTCTTTCTCTTTCTTTCTCTCTCTCTCTCTCTCTCTGATCATTTATCTATTTATATTACTTGTTGGTGTTGTTGTTGTTTAGTACTTACATTTTTTCTTTTCTTGTTCAATCGAGTGATGATGATGATCTTCTAGAACTATGTAGTACATACATAAAAGAAACAAAAAAAAGAGAGAAGAAAAACAAAAACTCGACGAGAAGTTTGTATGCATCTCTCCATTCCACTCCAAACACGTCTATGTACTGTTCGCTCTCACTACATACTCTCCTCTCTTTTTTGATCATCCCGTCTCGTCCGTCTGATCACCATCTTCTGATCACCTCTCTCTTGTTCGTCTTGTTCCTTGCTGTGCTGTTTCTTTCTAGGGAGGGCCTCATCTCCTCTTTCCTGCCCCTCTCTCCTCCGAAATCCTCTCTTTCTTCTCGCTCAGATCTCTCTTTCTCGTCCATCTTTCTCTCCTCTCTCTCTCTCTTTCTCTCCACAACCTCTTGTTTATTTTTTTTTCTTCAAAACTCCTCCCCCCCCCCCCCAAAAAAAAAACACCCAAAAAAAGTATATATGTTTTCTTCTTTGTTATTCATTTTTTCGGCTTAGTTTTCGGTAGTTTTCCTGGTCGTATTTCCATGTATTTCTCTGCTCTTTCACTCTCCTCTCTCCTCTCTCCACTCTCCACTCTCCTCTCTCCTCTCTCTCCTCTTAAATCACTTGACATCCATTAACACAGATATGTTTGTTTTTGTTTGGTATGACTTAAAGAAAAGCTTTCCATACATAACCCACTTCGAAAACACACACATGCACAGCCAAGATTGTAGATGTTCGAGGGTGACGGATGATGAAGATAATTGTAGTCGAAGCAGTTTGCTGTATTAGTCGTATCCCTCATCCTGGCGATGATCACATGATCTTTCTTTGTTCTTGCACTCATTTTCATTTTCATTTTCATTTTTTTTTTTTTTGGGGGGGGGGGGGGGATTTATTAGTGTTTTTTTTTTTTGGTAGATATGAATCTTCCAGACTTGCTGGTTTTTTTTGGCAGATGTCAACTTGTACATAGAAGGGAAAAAGAAAAAACAATAGCTAATAGTTTATATGCAAGCCTGGATGTGTCTTGAGGGCAAGCCCACATTGATGGAGCTCCATTTCTCACTGGATGAGCAGGATCTAAATAATTGGAAAAACAGCTTGATCATATGATGATGCATATAGATTTGATACCTTACATATTATACTCTCCAATTTAATCTCAGTTCTACATCTCTTTTGTTTGAATAGTCAAGCACATATAAAGGATGTTGAACCAATCCAAGGAGACACACCAGTCTACAGTACAACTCTGACTTCAGAGGTTTGTTCTACTCATGGAAATCAGCGCAGGTTTGTTATAGTCACAAAACTCTCATCAAGACTTGAGCTCCCAACTCCCAGAACTTGTGGACAGACATAGACTCCTAAGGGGAGTGTGCTGATGAAACTCAAGATTTTCATTCAGGAAACGGGGGAAAGAGTGGGCGAGAAAAAAAGCCATGAGGGACAAACTCAAAGGACAAAAAACCCAAAGGTTGAAGAGCCCTCAATGAGGGCTATAGTCTCCTAGCATGAGTGGTCGAAAAGCACACACGCTACAGGGGGGGTTGTATCCAGTAGAGACCCCTGGGGGATCAGATGCAGAAGACAAAGAAGATCTTTGATTTCCAACTCCAAAGGATGAATGCTTAACTATGACAACTATGAGGGCTGAGTTATGGGACAGAAGGTGGAAAGATATATCCCACTGGAGAGAAGGAAGAGAGTGACAGGTGTGAAGGAGTGATATTGAATGGAAAGAGAGAGAGAGACAAGACAACCACTAGGAATTCTGACATGTGCTGATAGGACCAATCCTGGGTCCTGTCACTGACACATGACTGCACAAGTTGTTGCTCCAATTGGATCCAATGATCCAAGAGTTGTGTGCTTGATTCTGGAATTGTTATCCTCAACCAATCCACACAAATGATAGGATGTACTGACTCCTTCCAATGAGAGGATCCTCAAAAGTACTCTTGGTACGTGGATCCAAACCATGTAGACTTTCAAGTTTCATGGTGCACCAAGAGTGCTGTAATGTCACTTGCACCAAAGACTCTCCAGATGAACCTTGCACCTTTGTTGAGCCAGGACATTTTTGCACAGTGACTGTGCATAATGCACAGTCACTGTCCAGTGGAGATTGTGCTGGCGCCCACCCTGAGCTTGGACAGAGGCTGGCTGTGAGCCTTACATGTCACCTGTCAGCAACTGACATCTTTTTTTCATGGTGGGGGGTGCATGTCTTTCATGATAGTGCACCCTCCAGACTGCAGTGCCATCTCACACAGTGTATCTATGCCTGGGGATCACCAATTGGCAAATACTACAATCTTGACTCTGTAGACTTGCCCTATCTTACTGTTTTTTGTTTTTTTTCTTCTCTGGAGCTCAACATTATTCAAAATTCTTCTTTTTGAAAGTTTGAACAACAGATGAGTATGTTTAGTTGATTGGCTTTTGAAGAATGAATCATGATCTTTAATGAGCCTGTTTTTTTTTTGCTTATACCAAATCTTTGCTGGGATTACTCAACAGAGAGAGAGAGTGTGTGTGTGACATAAGTGGAGGACACCTCTGAGTGTTGTTGAGTCTTGCAAAAAAAAAGCCTTTTGCCATGATTGTTACCAACCGAAAAAAAGGGAGTAATTAAGGTAAACCCATTGACAAGAGAAAAGAGTTGCAGTTACTTGCGGGATTGATAGATTGAGAAATTGAAAACCAAGCAAAAAAAAAAAGGAAGAGAGAAAAGAAATACATGACAAAAAGGAACGATTAAGAAAGCTCATTCAAGGCATTAACCGAGCGATCCAAGCCAACGAGATGAGAATGGTTCTGATTAGAGAGGAAGTTTTTGATGACTTGGGGGTCTTTGATGAAGCAATTATTGATCTTCCGAGGCCGATGTTGATGATTAGCTTTAGACCTGATGATCAATGAATTGTTCTTGATGATCAATGGGTCTGCGAGTTTTTCTTTCAATCGGGCCCGGAGGATCTTCGCTTGAGTCATCGCTTTGTTGTCCCCCTTTTTGGGTTGTTTGTCTTGATCATCTCCATCAGATCTATTACAAAAGGACAAAAAAAGAAAAAAAATCAGTCGCCTTTCTTATTGGGGTTCCATTGACAGCTTTGAATCAAGACTAACTCGTCGTTCGAGTGATCCAAGTCGATCTCGAGCATCTCTGCTGTCTTCTTCATCCAGTTCTCATCGTGTGATTGTTTGGTTGACTTATGTTCAAGAGTATCGATCTTCTTAGCCAACTCCAACAACTCTTTCAATTTATTCGAGATCGAATGTTCGATCGGTGGGGATGGTAAATCATCCGCTAACACATAAAAAAAAAAAATTGAATTAGTGAAGGAAAGAGTCGAAAGTGGGAGGGGGGGAGGGAGTCATATATCGAAGTGGAAAGACGAACCTCTACCCAAGTTTTTCATCAGGCTTCGCCATGTTTTGAGTTCGTCGGGTGCGATGAGCGCCAACGCGACGCCGCCTTTTCCAGCTCTAGCAGTCCTACCCGAGCGATGGACATAACAATCCGAAGATCTCGGGACCTGGTAATGGATCACATGGTCGACTTGAGGGATGTCCAATCCTCGTGCCGCCACATCGGTGGACAACAAGATCGAATTCGAACTCGACCGGAACCGATCCAGTGATTTCAAGCGGGAGCGTTGTTGCATTTCTGAATGCAATGTCAAGACCGTCGAGTCGGGTAATAAGAGGTTCAACATCGGCGACAACCGTCGAAGTGCTGAGATCGAGGATAGGAATACAATCGTCCGTCCTGTGTAACGCAGCATGAAGTGTAACAAATATAGATCCTTGTTGTTACAATCAACATGGTAAGTTATGTGACATTAACTCTGTGGATGAGTAGCTAATCTGAACTGACTTTATCTTTAAGCACACATTCGATTTTGCACTCCTTGAGTCCACCAACCATCCTTCCTTGCGGAGTTAAGTCGATCAATTCAGGGTGCGGGTCTCTAAAGTCAATCTGCTCGAGTAAGTCATGCATCGGATCCGCGGGTGGAATTGATCCCCCAACAGCTGGTGGTTTTCCCTTGAATGACCTCTTCTTTAAATTGATCTGCAAGTTCTTGTCCATCGTAGCTGAAAAGACCATTGTCCTAATCTTCTCCTTGATATAATTATCAGCATCATTTGCTTGTGAGGTCCATTCATCTTCCCATTCTTCCTCTTCACCATCATCTTCGTCGGCGTTATTGTTGTCGGTGGTGTGTCGAGGACGACGATCTTTTGGACGTTTGGTCAACTTCAAGATCTTTTCGAGTTCTTCAAAGTGGCCTTTTTCGATCATCTTATCGGCCTCATCGATGATCAACCAATCCAACTTGCGTTTGATTCCCTCCGCAAACTCGTCCCAGCTTTGAATCATGTCCCAAAGTCGACCGGGTGTGGCGATGACGATACAGCCTAGCCCACCTTTCCCAGGCTCCATGAGTTTCTTGCTTCGTTCGAGTTGTTTGCGTTGCTTGGCAATCGCAATCCCTCCGCAAATCGAGACCGTCGTGATTCCTGTCCGATTTTTCGACGAGCTAGGTTCATTCGTCGCACCTTCTTCTTGCGATGATTGAGTCTCACTGCACATTGCCTTGAGGAATGTGTCAATGTGAGCTTTGACTTGTAGACATAGCTCCCGAGTTGGGGTCAAGACGAGTGTGACTATAGGCAAAATTTGCGGGCTTGATTTCAGCATCGGTGATGGCGGGGAAAGGATGAGAGCATTGAGGATCGGAAGGGCATAGGCCAGTGTCTTCCCCGAACCCGTCTCAGCAATTACCACTAAATCTCGAGGTGAATCCGAAGATGAGAGTGAGATAGGTAAACTTGCTTCCTGTACAGCTGTTGGTTTTGTGAATGATAGGTTATACAGAGCACGCTTGATCGGGCTGGCCAGCTTGAGATCTAGCCAAGCAGGTAATAGTGAATCTGTATGGAAATTCGTTGATTAAGAGGTGGCATCAGTTGAACTAGATTCTAAGGTTGATTAGGAGAGAAGATAGAGGAGTACTGACCATCGAAGGGTAGCATGATCAACTGGTTATCCACGTCTCTTTCCATATCAGACATTCCATCGAGATCGGCAGTCGCAGCCCAATCAATGTCATCTAGTTCATCCTCTACTTGGTTACTCTCCCGTCGTTTTGGTCCGTTTTTACTATCGTTGACGGAATCTGTATTAGGGATGTCGGGTTTGTTGGCCTGGGCATCCTTCTTGAGTTGTCTTAGCTTGGCCAGTCTTTCCTTCTTAGCCTTTTTCCTTAGTTCTTTATCGATCGTTGCTTGACTGGGTGTGACTTCGGAAGCAGGTTGTTGACTGATTTCTTGACCCTCAATCTTGAGCTGGGTATCTGTTTCTTCCAGTTGATCAAGATTCCGTTTACGACTAGACTGCTTGATGTCTTCCCAAACCGATCCATCCAGTTCTTCCAAGCCTAACAATCCACCACCATCGGGGTCGAAGGATAGGCCATCACCAAGGAAGTCGGGTAGTCGCACTTTCTTCCAGGGGAGCTTATCGAACGCCGTGGGTTTGGTTGAGTCAGTTCCCATGTCAAACGAGGGTATCGGTGCTTGTGAGTCATCCGTTTCACTCTCGATCTCTCCAATCGGTTCGTTATCATCGAATCGTGGCTCTGGCTCCGGTTCTCTCGGTTCCTTTTCTGTTTTCCTTGTACGTGTTCGCTTGAGAGGTCGAACCATCTTGACGAAATCTTTGCTGTGTTGACTCCTTTTTTCCGGATCGTCGGTGGTCGGATACTGCTTATGAAATTCCCAATTAATAGTTCACTTGTTCATTTTGAATATGCATATCCTTCACCTGTCACAAGCATATCCGCTTCCTGTCACGAGTTCGGAGTGAGCAGGACGGGGGATCTTCTTGGTTGAGAGCACACAACAATAAGAACTTTCCATCAAGAAGATGGAAACCTGCTTGATTGCTGAGTTCATTAATTGGATAATCAATACAGTCAAGCAGCATCAAGGAAGTGTTCTGAGGACATAGCAACAGATTAGACCCGTCAACCCATCAAATGGTGATACCGGGGCAATCCTTATATCCATTCTCCATTTTCACGACCACCACCACCACAGCTTTGGTGCCTGGAAGTATTACCAAGTATATCTCCTGACAAGACATTAGGAAGAAAGCCAAGAAAGCAGCCAAAAAAAAAAAAAAAAGAAAGAAAGAAAGAAAGCTGAGGTCCATTGGGGTTTGCAGAGGGATTAAATATTTTTGTCAGTGGTTGTAAACACATGTTGTACCAATGGAGGATATATTAAATCAAGGAGTGTCTTTTGATCCCGACAAATCAAGGCGTAGGATAGGCCAGCTATAAGCTCAAGATGCGACCCCCGGCCTCCAGTGACCAGAGGGAACACCCAGAAATTCCCGCCGCCAAATCATCATCTAGATCCCACGGCTTCAGCGACGCGCACCACGTGCTTCTAGTGCCGTGCCTGAGTCCATCTGGTCCATTCAGTGCCACTCTTCAGCACTGAGTCGAGCTCTAAACCCGTCCACTGATCTGTTGCCCGTCCCAGCCCTCGAATCAGCCTCATCCGTCTGAACATCCTTCGACCGTCCAACCGATACGCGTGGTCCACATGGCTTCGTGTGCTGATTAGCGATAGTTCTGGTCTCAGTGCTGGTTCTGGACGGTATTTTTAGTGCAATCATGTGTCACGGGTTCGAATCGTTGGACAGAACATCCGGAAAGATCAGTTTGGATTCGATTGGATTGGTTGTTCCTATTATTATTATGAAAAGCCGAATCGTAAATAGACATGAACGAATCAAAAACAGACACTGACTCTTAGCATTATGCTCAATCTTTGGGCGCCGATGATTGGTTGATTCTTGAAGGAATCATGGATTGGGATCGAATGTTGCAAGTTGTATCTCACCGAATCACTAGAAAAAGTGCGACAGAGAAAACAGACACACACACACCCAAAAAATCAGTCTGAAAGCTAAACTAAGTTGAAGGAAATCGAAGGGTACCGTTGGATGTAAACGCTACCGGGAGGCAAGAGCACTTTAAGGTGAGTATGGATTGGGGCGGCTTGATGGCCGAGTCGCATGACTCGGGTACTACCCAAGCTGAGGCCAACGATGGTGGAGCCAGAGGCCTCGAGGTTATCGACGTGGGGGTCGATTCTGCCTTGAGATGAAAGATGGAGGAGATGGATCAAGGGAGGACGAGGGGCCTCGGGTAGGAGGGCTTGCAGTCTGGCCAGGATGGATGCGAGTGATTGATGTGTGGGAGTGGTGTCGGACGGACTGACGAACTGGCCGAGCTGCATCTCGCGATAGCCTGAAATGACTTGGTCGAAATGTCCAGCTTCGAACGAGTACTCCTCCTCGGCTCGAAATCTGCTCGCCTCTCTCCTTGGCTCTGTTCCGCCAGCTCTTTGAGATCCTCCTCGTCTTCTTGCTCGCGGCCTTTCCATCTTGTCCAGCCGGGTTAAACTGTGATCGAGGATGAGGTCTTGTTCCTGTCCGGTCAAGAATCTGGGATGCAACACGAAGTCTGTAGGCTCGTATAGGTCCTTGTGATACTCCGAGTGACCATCAGGGATCTCGAACCATTCGCATGTCTCGTCACGCAGATCGTAGGATTGGCTTGATAAGTTCCTCCTTGCCGGTATTCCAATTGATGAGGCATTAAAAGAAGGAGGGCGTTGAGACGCAGCACATGAAGGGGCAATGATTCGGATGGTTACCGAGCAGGAAGGTCTGGCTGGCATGGATGCTCGACTGCATGCCCGGAGTGTCTTCATCACTTGGGCCATGACGAGTTGTTGCAGCTGGCCCGGTTATGCCGAAATCTGGAGAGATCCGGCCAACGGGATGGTCTCTCTTTCACATGTCCCAAGCCTGTCCACCTCCTGTCACAAAACGATTCTTGCACACATCTACATATTCTCTGGTGACAATAAAACCAGTTCTATGAACTTCATCCCACTCCAATAGACAATCATGTTAACATCAGCTGACATCGTATTTACATTCCATTTCTTTGGTCAAGCATACTTTTTTTCTGCCTTCGTACAACCAAACATAAAAAAAAACATGCATCTCATCCTTGTTCATCTTGAAAGAAAAAAAGCAAAAAAAAGAAAGAAAGAATATATTGAGAAGGAGAAAAGAAGAAAAAGCAAAAAAGAAGATAAAAGAAATCATGCATAGTTAAGGGATACCATATATATAAATAATGATGTGAGCTTGAGGTTGATTGAAAGAAAAAGAAGACAACTAGGAAAGTCTAGTAGAAGAAACCAGACAATTTAAGGTTGCAAGATAGAGGAGTACTGATTGAAAAGCAAGAAGATATAAATCAACCAGTCAACGGAGCGTTTTCGGCGATTTTCTTAGCTTCACCATGGTCCTCAGCATGTAATGTAGATTGTTCGGAGGTAGTAGGCTGAGGGGATTCAGGGACCCTCAGCGCGTGAAGTTTAGCTTGTAACTCCTCGACGGAGGTAGACGTAGTAATAGGTGTAGGATCTGGATGGAGCAGTTGAGGTTGCGACTTCTGGGGCGTCGGGGCGATGTCGACCAAGCTGGCCAGCTCGGCGGCGATCTCTTGGTCGTCGATCGCGCGGCTCGGATCATACACCTCGTTGATCGCCTCGTCGATCTCCTTCTGGTCCGCCAAGACCTCCTCCATGTTCTCGATCGTCTGCGCAACTCGATCAACATTCAACGCCGGCACCGAGAGCAAGCTCTTCAACGTCTTCGTCGACGTCTCATATGCATTCATGATCTAGTCCATTCCAATCATCAATCTTTAGTTTTCTTGGGTCTATTTTTGTGTTGCCAGGAACTTCATGAACTCACTTCTGCATCCGTGCTCGCTTGTTCGATTTTCAGATATACTTCGTTCAGGCTCTCTAACACCCCGATCCGTCGACTCAGAACAGTCTTCAAGGCTTTCTTCGATTTGAGGTGACTGGCTGCGATCTCAGGCTGAGACTTTTGGATATATTTCTTCGCCTCTTGAGTTCGTCTATTCAACAAAACATTCAATCAGTCTGTGTGAGAAAGACCATAAGAATAGGATGAAAAAAAACTGACTGCTCAATTTGAGCGCTGATGGTTTGAATCTGTTGGTTTAATTGTTGGATGGTCTGTTTGACTGACAACACCCCTCGATCAACTTCGTTAATCGGAGCAGGCCCGACCCTCGAATACTTTGTTCCATCTCGATCAGATTCGATCGAGGTAGGCACGACAAATTTGATGACCTTCAATGATTGAGAGCATCAAAATCAGCCTTGAAAGAAAAAAAAGAGGGAAAATCGTTGTCAATACATTTTTTTCAGAGATCAAGATCTTCCGGTCACGTTCGAGATGTTTGAGCAGGATCCCAAGGTCTGTGGTCGATAGTTTGAGGTTTGGTTGAGTGGATGGGAAGAGGTCTTTAGTGAGCTGGTCGATGAATTGAGACTGAGTGTATAGACAGTCGATCGAGGGAGAGAGTCCGACGAAGTGTTGTTGGTATCGCTCGATGACTCGATCGGCGGTTTGACGACTTGAAGAGGATCGCGAATAAGGAATGAGTATGAAGATATGCAAGCAAGCTGTTTGATTTCAATGAACTACGCACGGACAGGAGTAAGAGGTTGACCCAATCGATCTTGACGAGGTTAAGTTTCTGGTCGAGTTCGAGCTGATCGAATCGTTGGTCGGGGTCGAGGATTGTGCCCCTAGTGATTGCTCTGGAAGCCCAGGAGATCGAGCGAACCATGGTGGTGGTGATCCCGGTGGCCGGCCCCCAGCCTCCGGTTGAGAGGAACGAGTTGAGCGGTGCAAGGACGGCTGAGGATGAAGCGGCTGAGAGTGAGGAGAGTGCCCAGAGTGGACATGCTAAGCCATAGGGTTTTCCGATCGATGGTCGTCTGAGTGATTCGAGTAGTTGGTCGTTGAGATGTAAGACTAATCGGTCGGGAGGAGTTTCTTCTTTTTCTGTTTGCTCTTCAACACTGGTAGCTCCTCTGCCTTTCTGTATTTCTTTTGAGTTGGTTTGTAGTCCGAGTCTGAGTAGGTCGGTGAGGATGATCTGCCAGGTTGCGTTGTTGGAATGGAAGCCAGCTGGGTTGGATTGTCTGGTTGAGCTGTAGTCTGAGTAGAGTGATTCGATTCGGTCGTTTGATTTGAACTGGTTGAGTGAGTTGAGGTATTCGGATAGGCTCGAAGGGATCTTGTTACTGTCCTGCATCCTGATGTGTTTCTTGAGAGTGAGAGTGAGTTGGTTGTTGTTGGAAGTTGAACAGCATTAAAAGAACCCACCACAATGGCAATGGCATCCAAAAGTTTATTCCCCCGGGGGGTAAGCGGGTATCCTACATGTATGTATGTAAGCCTACAATCGCAACGAAGTGTCCACTGAATCTGATGCCATCTGCCTGATGAGCTCGATGTCATCTGAATCAGAGTAGATGGGCTGAGGTCGAAAGTGACTCGGGCAATCCCCAGTGGGCACCCAGGCGTACTGTCCACAGAGTCGACAGTGATGAAGCTGGACTTCAATCTGCCGATTGCAAGGCCCCTGTGTCTGCAGGGTCGTACAAGCTAGCGTCTCGTGCCTCTCACGTGGTTGCTGAGTCCTATATGCACCCATCCCCGAAGACTGCCGGCCATCACGAGAGGCACAAACATGACACCTCTTTGCAGCATTCCCTTTCGGCATTCCAAGACTGGACTCCGGATGGCTGAGGAAGAGCAGGGCCCACAGGAGCCCCAGCCGGGCGAGTTTGTTATACGATATCATGATCACTTGCAATGGGTTTCGATCTTCGGACCTAATTGGACGGGAAGGTGGTGTTGAAACTTGCACGCAGTGGGCTGTTGAAGTGGGCTGAGCTTTCCACTATGCCAGCAAGGCGATGAGGGCAGAGCCAATCAACCTAGCTCATAAAGGGGTGTGTGGTTTGAGATCCAGTCAAACTCACTCACCTGAGCCAAGTAAAACTGACCTGATCTGGTCGTGTTTTTTTGTGTTCAGATTCTCATTTATACTCACAATTAGAGACATAAGGCCGAAAGGGAATCTGAAGTTCTTTATATTTACATGGAGCTTTCTACAACAATTTGGATGAAGGAAGAGTGGAGGACTTCCCGTCGGATCTGGGACCCTTGCAGAAGTCGATCTAGAGCCAAAAACTTTTAATTCTCGCAGGGAAATTTGAAGTTTGACGCTCTAAACCGACTCTGGGAGACCCGCAGAAGTTGACGGGAAGTCCTCCAGTGGATGACTTCCCGTCAACATCTGCGGGGCTCCCAGTTTCGATTTAGAGCCGAAAAAGCTAGAATTCCCTGCAAAAATCTAGACTTTTTGGGTCTAAATCGGAAACTGTGAGGCTCCTAGATCCGACGGGAAGTCCTCCAGTATCTCCTCATCAGTGAGCACAGTTCCTTCATCCTTGAAAAAAAAACCCTTTTTTGACAAAGAGATTTTGGGATTTGCAAGCCAAGGAAAATCAGCACAGAGCATGACATCTTGTGCACTCCTTCAAGCAAACAGCAGGCTCATTTTGCAATGAAACCTCAAGATGAGGCGGTGAGAATGGGGAAAAGAGTGACTGGAAAAACCAATCTTGAGACAAAAGTCTCCAGAGAAAACTTGCGAGTTCAAAGAGCTCAAAAAGGGGGCTAGAGCTGCTAGAGTGTGTGGCAGAAAAGTGCTCAGACTGGAGGACTTCCCATCAACATCTGTGGGTCCCCCAGAACCAATTGAGAGCCTCCAAAATCAAATTTCCCTTCAAGAATCAAGAGTATTTGGGCCTAAATCAACTTCTGCAAGGGCCCCAATTTGCACCTGAAGTCCTCCACTACAAGAGGTTGCATACTTTGAAGACCTTATCAGGGAAAAGTGTGGAGAGAACAGATGATATATTTCATTCTAAGAACCTTGAGTATTTAAGCTATTACAACTGTGGGGGCCAGATTGTGGGACAGAAGGAGAGATGAATATTCATACAAAAGGAACAGAAGGAAAGTGACAAGTGAAAGGACTTGCAATAGTGGGCCAGTTACACAAACCATGGTGTTAGTGTAGCTTAGTGTTACATATTTCTGCTAAAAATAGTGTAGCATAGCGGAATTCTGCCACATCTGCACCAACACTACAAGTTCAGGCCCCCAAAATGCACCCACTCCACTACACTAACACACTGGTTAGCTTTAGCAGCCGTTAATAGTCCGTATCATATAAAAAATGTGCTAACATTGCACTAAAACTACATGTCAATTTGTGAAAAAAGACCACTACACTAACAGTTAATTGTCAAATAGTGTAGCAGCCCACCAATGAAAGGAGTGACATGAGGAGAGAACACAAAAGTGAAATTCCAACATCTTGGTGCTACATAGCCTCTGTCTTTTGAAGTAAGATTGGACAACATTTTGATTGTGCATGTTCAAAATCTAATTTCTATAAATTTTCTTGTGCAATCAAGAGTTTACTTCTGATTTCCATTTTCTCAAAAACTGCACCCAACACTGTGATACATTGGAAAAAGTAGCCTTTATGAGGCCTCCAATTCATAAAAATTTATTGACTTGATTGCTTAAAAATCAATTAAAACCAGGTCTGAAGAAAAAGAGAAATCAGAAAAAAAGAAAAAGACAGAATCATCCAAGAGGATGTAGAGATGGTTGCTCCGCATCTGTCAGCTTTCGATCTTGCATAGAGATCAAGCTGGACAAGGACAAGAGTAATAATAATATATTACTATTAAAGATAAGACTGGATACAACAAGATAGAAGGAAAAGGAGGAGAAAGGAGTATTCTTTTTTGGTTATTTGTTTATTTGAGGTTTCTTATATTCTTGGAGAATATTTATATCCGGTAAAGAAACACCTAGGCCTCTATCCCTAAAGGTAGGGATAGGATAAATCAAATATAATGATTGTGATGATTTTTTATCCAGTCAATAGACATGGAAGGGTTATTGAAATCAAACCCAATCATTCATTTAATTTTATATAGTTTATTCAATTTTTTGATGTTTATAAATTAGGATTAATTTTTTAGAGGATCCGAAGCGATATCTCAAATGCAGAAGAGTAGCAGTTTTGAAATAGCGGTTAAGGTTGATCTAGGGATAGTAAGAATAAAACAAGAGTCAATCAAAATTACTTATCTCAAAATTAATTATATAGACACTTAATGGTAAAGAGATTAAGACAATCTGAAAAGGTTATATTCAGATGAGTTATACTAAGTAATTACCTTTATTTTTTGGTGTCTCAAAAGTAATTATGAGAGGTAAGAAGATTTTTATTGCTGAGGAGGGAGGAAGGACTGTTCCGGTCTCTGGGGTTGATTATTTTGTACCAGTCCTTCTTCCAAAGCTTGGTATTGTTTGAATTGCCTTGATTTGATCATCTTGCAAGGCTGAAGTCATCTTTTTGCAGATTGCTTTTAATATTCAAAGGAATTGGAGTTCTTTGATTAATCTTAATTTCAAGAGATCACATATCTGTGAAACCTCTAACATGTAAGTGAAATCTTCAGTAATTTCAATATTATTATTTTTTCCATTTGTTTTAAATGTTTTGTGAAACCTTTAGGACATGTCAACATGTCTCTGAGGTTGACAGCATCCAGATATCCGCCCGGATGCGGATATCCGCTCACAATTTCAGCGGAATCAGACATCTGCATCCGCTGGTGCTGGCGGGTATCCGCGTGGATACCAGCGGATACCCGCCCTTTGAATCAGAGGTGAGGCAGACAGCTGGAAGGTTTTCCTTCCAGCCGGCAAGGTACATTTAACTCTTTGACCGGAAGGATTTCCTTCCAGCCGGCAAGGTACATTTAACTCTTTGACCGGAAGGATTTCCTTCCAGCCGGCAAGGTACATGTACCTTGCTGACCGGAAGGATTTCCTTCCAGCCGGCAAGGTACATGTACCTCGCTGACTGGAAGGGTTTCCTTCCAGCCGGCAAGGTACATGTACCTACTGGAAGGGTTTCCTTCCAGCCAGCAAGGTACATGTACCTTGTCGACTGGAAGGGTTTCCTTCCAGCCTTGGTTATCCTTGGGGATACCCGGATATCCGCTGTGATTTTGCAAAAAGGGGGCATCCGCATCCGCTGGCGGGTGTCCAACAGCGGAAAACGGATCTCCACAACGGATTATCCGTGACCATCCCTAAGAGGATATGAAAGGAGAAATGGGCCTACCCTAGGCAATATGAAAATTAAGAAAGAACCAATGTGGATACACTTGAATAAAGAGGTTGAGTTGATTAATGGTGGTTGACCCTGATATAGAGTGAGGAGGTTGAAGGAGAATAAATGAAAAGAAGGGGAAAGGAAAAGGAAGTGAATGAGAAGGAGGATGCAGATCAGAGTGGTTGCGGAGAGCAGAGTGATCAAGAAGGTGGATGAGATCAGAGTGACTGGTTGGTGACAGTCTATGGAGTGATGTTTTCTATTACATCTTGTGCAGGATGACTTGAGTTGATCACAGTGAAAACATAGACAATCAACAATTCAAAAAAAAAAAAAACTCACTTGACTTTCTCGTTGAGTTTTAGCAACGATCCAACCCAAAAAACATCAGGAATTGTTTTTGAGAGTTTTAAAAAGAAACTCTGAAGAGAAAAATTCACTCTTCTTGATAAATAAGTTTTTTTTTTTGGATTTCTTAACATTTACCAATTGGAACCCAGCTTCAGGTTGAGAGGAACAAGTTGAGTGTTGCAAGGCTGGCTGAGGATGAAGAAGTTGAGAGTGAGGACAGTGCCCATGGTAAACATGATAGGCCATAGGGCTTTCTGCTTAATGGTTTTATAAGTGGTTTGAGTGATTGGTTGTTGAGATGTAAGACTAATTGATCAACATGAGTTTCTTTTTCTGTGTCTTCTTCAACACTAGTAGCTCTTCTGCCTTTTTGTATTTATTTTGAGTAGCTTTGTAGTCCAAATGTGATTAGGTTGGTGAGGATGATCTTACAGGTTGAGTTATTGGAATGGAAGCCAGGTGGGTTGGATTATCTAGTTGAGCTTTAGTCTGATTAGAGTGATTTGCTTTGGTTGTTTGACTTGATTTGGTTGAATGAGTTGAGGTATTTGGTTAGGTTTGAAGGAATCTTGTTATTTTCAATCTTGTCGTGTCTGCTGTTGGTTGTTTTTGGAACCAACATAGGGAAAAGAAGAGTCAACACCCAATACAATATCATCAAAAAGTTAATTCACCCAGGGGTAAGAGGGTATCCCACATGGGTTACTTATGTAGGCCTACAATCGCAATGAGGTGTCAACACCGGCTCCCACAGCCTGTCTGATGAGGTTTATATCATCAGAATCACAGTAGAATGGTTCAGGCTGAGAGTGATGCAGGCAACCCTGAGTGGGGAACCAGGCATACTTTCCACAAAATTGACAGTGGTGAAGCTGGACTTGAATTTGCCGATTGCAAGGATCCTGTATCTGAAGGGTTGTACAAGGTAGTGTGTCTTGCCTCTGACTTGGTTGCTGAGTCCTCTGGTATTGGGGTATCCCAGGCCCTGAACATTGCTCATCAAGGAAGACACAAATATGACACCTTCTTCCATTATTCCCTCTCGGCATTCACAGACTGATCTTCATATGGCTGAAGAAGATCAGGGCCCAAAGGAGCGCCATACGGGGGAGTTTTTCATAAAATAGCTTTTCCATTGTAAGGAGCACTTGAAATGGGGTTTGAACTTTGGACCTTGAAGGGGGAAGTTGTGTTGAAGTTTGCACACAGTGGGCTGTTGAAGTGGGCTGAGTTTTCCA